CGTGAGATATTTGTTATTTTAAGCAGCTGCATTTTGGGGTAACTCATTACACTCCTGACGCTCCTGGAGATACTACATAGCCTTCGGGGAGGAGAATGCTGGCCTGCACTACCCAAGCACACTTGCTATGGAGCATTACAGCTCCTCCAATGCATGAGGCCAGAGTTTTCAGACATGGATCTTCCTGAAAGAAATGAGTTAAATTACTTCCTGGTTAACTATTCCCATGAGCAAAATATTACTTCATTATTTTCCCCCAAAGAAATTCTGTGACCTTGACTCACAACAATTTATCTTAAATTGGTAGAGGCATTTACCTGCTAAGACAGCAAATTCAATCCAGAATGCTTCATTTCTACATCGGTGCGATGGCTCATGGCACAGGATTCTAAATCTGGAAGGAATTTTGGTGATGCCCCTAGCTTATCTCAGGCTGATTCTGTAAGGATGATGTCAGTTTCTGTAAGAGTCAACCATTTAATGTCACAGAACATCAAATACATCCTCAACTGTCCCCTCCTAAGGGAAGGGAAGAACCTGAAAGACTCAGCTGCTTTCAAGATACAGCAGTCATGACAATCACCTCCAAAGGTCCTACATTTGGGAATAGGGGAAGGCACACTAATTCAAGATTACCTTCAGGAGTGGGGCAGCTCATGCACAACCCATCAACCTCTCAGGTTTACACTTGTGAATATACTGCCCCTCTCCCCCACCTGCAGTCTGCCTTGTATCCACTTCTGTTAGCCAGGGGTACTGGCAGTGACCTAACAATTTAAATTCAACATTCATGGGTTTACTTGGCTGTTAGGCCAGAAATGTATTTACATAAAAATGTTAATAGGCTGGCAGTTTCTAGATCGTAAATCCAACTAGGAGTTAGGCTGGGAGGAGCTTCTTTGGAAAAGCTCATAGAAGGAGAAGTAGTATCTCTCTGAATTTAGCGATTAGTGCTCATGTTTCTTCCTGGATGCTACAAGTGCTCCCTTGTTTTTGTTTTTGTTTTTGTTTTTGCAAGCATGATGCCAGGCTAAGACCTTGCTTTAAGAATGATTATAACTTCTGTGTCTCACCTTCCCATTCCCAGTGACATCTTCTTCAGGCCAGTACATTTCTCTTAAGCAATTGTTTTGGAAGATATATAAGCTTCTGTTTCCTTTTTAAGGTGCTGTATGTTGAGGTGAAACAATTCCCACATAGGCTGTCTACTGCCTACCTGATGCATGTGTACATATGCGCCTTCTCATGGGTAGGTCTGTATTATGCATTGTGCACACACATATTTCTGCATACCAGGAAGCCTGGTATGATTTTTTTTATATTTTATATTTTTCTATACTTTATACTTTTATGGATGATGACGCAGCTCAAGGCTATAAAACTGTAAGCTCTCCTCAGCTCTCTTTGTTTACAGTAGCAATTTGTCTGAAGCCTTTGGAGTTATATGATAAATTGCTACTTTAATTAGGTATAATTCTTTAAGCCATATGGTTTTTGGCACCCTGATTCCAATCAGAATTACCCGAGCAAGAAATCACTTATTTCCATAGTACTATAAGGCGTTAGTGGGACCACACTGTAGTGAAAAATAGACATTAGATTCTCTTTAAATTCAGGAACACAGAACTTGGCCTTAGTGACACGGTTAGAGTTGAAACAGCCCAACCAACCTCCAGCACCTCACAGGTTTCATATCATTTTGAGTTGTAGTCTTACAGCTCATCAAACTGCTATGTTAAAAACAAAACAAAGCAAAATAAAAACTCATTAACGAACACTACACGCTGCTGTGTCTGGGGATACAGTGATGAGCAAGAAAAGCCTGGTTCAATGAAATGTCCTGTTGCATGGTAGACTCTTTTCTTTGGGACAGCAAGGTAGTTTCTAGACTTTACACCTTATTGGAATAAGGGTAGCAGGAGATGGAGTTATCTATTAAGCTCTGGGTGAACTATTAGAATCCCCTGGTTTAAGAACTCTTTTTATCCTCCATTCTTCCCAGTAACAGAGATCTAGTTTTAGCTCCCCTCCCCCTTTAGTTCTTGTTTTTATTTTTTGGAGATAGGATCTCTCTGTGGAATTCAGGCTGGCCTTGAACCTATGGCAATACTCTTGTGTGCTGAGATTATAGGCATGTACCACCATGCCTATTTTTAGTTTTTTTTTTTGGTACCAGGAACCAAACCCTCAACCTCAAGCTTGCCAGGCAGGGGCTTCGCCACTGAGCTATATCCCTATCTCTATTTTTAGGTTTCTTGAGACAGGCTCTTGCTATGTTTGGTCTGGCTTCAAACTTGTTATGTAGCTGGGTTTGGTGGCATATACCTATAATCCCAGCACTCAAGAGGCTAAAACAGGAGGATTGCTGTGAGTTCAAGGCCAGCCTTGGTTGCATAGTGACTTCAAAGCCAGCCTGAACTACACAATGAGATGGTCTCAAATAAAACTAAAGTGCAAACAAGCAAAAACAGTTATGTGTCCCTAAATGACCTTGAACTCTACCTTCTCCTTCTGCCTTAGCCTCAAAGGTATGCACCATAGCACCCAGTGCAGATGTAGCTATTTTTTGATACTAAGAATTCAACCCAGAGTCTTCATACTGAGCCATATCTCCAGCCTTTTTAAAACTTATTTTGAAGGAGAGTCAAAGTTATCAAGGGGCTGGGGACTTAGCTCAGCGGCATAAGCGCCTGCCTTGCAAGCAGGCAGTCGTGAGTTCGATCCCCGGTACCGATAAAAAGGAAAAAAAAAGACCAAAAGAAAAAAAATTATCAAATTTGGAATCCTCCTGCCTTAGCCTCCTAGAGTACTGGAGTTAACAAGGATGCAACACCATGTTTGGCTCACGCTTGACACCCTTGACTAGCCTGTGCTGCCATCAGAAATTTAAGAAACCCAAAGAATGTTTGAATAGCTTGGGTTTTGGACAGGGTCTCCCTTTGGACTCTAGGGTGGCTTGGAATTCATCATCTTTCTGGCTCAGCCTCCACATCCACATTAGAGCATGAGCCACCACACCCAGCTTTGTCGTGTCACTTTAAGAAGGCTTGGTCCTTGTTTAATCTACCCCTTCATTCTGTTAATCTATTACTGATAACATTATCATGTAACTTAGTGTATGTTAAATGAACCATTAAAAACTCTTTAGAAATACCAGGGATTTGCAATGTGATTTGTATGTCAAAGCTATTTCTAAGTGACAGGGTACAGGAACTAACTAGTTGTTTCCAACCTTTTCCTGTTATCTTTTTGTCAGAAAATTGGTTACAATGAACCAGAAACCAAAGTGTTCAGGTCACTGTCTCTTCAGTCTACTGATACCACCAACCAGTAAAGGGAAGTCAACTTTACTGGGGGAAGTAGAAGTAGAGACACAATCAAAATAGAGGTAACTGAACTTTAGCATCAAAACCAGGAAAATAGTGAGATAAAAAGGCATTCCTACAATCCTAGCACTTGGGAGGTTGAGGCAGGAGGATCACCAGAGTTGCAGGCCAGCCTGGGGTGCATACTAAGTTTGAGACCAGCTTAGGCTACATAAAGAAACCTGTCTCAAAAAAGAGTATTCTTAATAATAATGGGGAACAACAGATGTAAATTTGGCCCATGCTCTGCAAATCAGTAGGTAGGACCACCTTCCTTCAAAAATTAAGCCATTAATAGGCAGCTTGCCTAGGAAAACCATGGCTATCTAGGTTTACAGAACCTAGACAAGCAAAATACATGCTTGCCTAAACAAAGCAGTCATCTAAGGATTGCTATCTCTGGTCTCAGCTATCTCCAAATTAATAATGCTAACATCACTACAAACCACAATACTATGTCTTCAGTAGTGCTGCACAGTAGAACTCATGTTAGACTGACAGCTGCTTCTAACTAGAGGTATGTTCACAGACCACAGGCCCACGCCGGGGCTGCTAGTCAGCTTAGGGTGATGAATTACGCAGGAGGAAAGCTGTAAATGGGAGAACTTCCAGACACCAAGAACGAGAGCCAAGATCTCAACATAGAGCTCTTGGGAGAATCACAGCAGGCCACTAACAACATCCAAGGCCAGGCCTGTGCCCAGGGCAAGTCAGCCTTGCAGTCAGGTTCCAACCTGGGTAGCAATGGGGTCAGTGGTTGCTACTTAAGTTCATTACTGGTAGCTGGGCAGAGGATGAATTTGGGAAAAGCACGGAAATAAAACCTTTTAATCAAATATTAAACTTTTGAGCTGTTACAGAATTCATTAGAAACCATGTTATAGTACAGCAAGTCAAAACCAAACTCTAGAGAGCAAGGAGAGTAGAGCCTATATTGTGCTCCTAAACTCTAATGTCAAAATCATGACCTGAGTCCAGGCGAGAATCTGAATCCCAGGGCTTCATGGCTTGTGTCTCCCAAACCTCATGGGGTCATAGGTGGGGCTATTTCAGAAGTGGTTGACGTACACTACGTGACATTCATGGCATGCTAGGATAAAGAGAGCAAGTGCTAGCCACCCCCCACCAAAGTAACCTGGATACAACGCAAGGGACAGAGGCGGCCTGCAACCAGTTACACTTGGGTAGTTTGCTGACTGCTGGTTCACTACTCTCCGGGCTTGTGCCTTCTCCCTGTCAATGCTTTGCCATGGACTCTTCCTGTTGTGATGCCCTCCATCATACCACCTTGTCTTAGAGCCAGCTGACTAAGGACTGAAACCTCTACAAATTGTGAGTCAAAATAAACCTTCTCTCTTTTATCTTTGGGTGTTAGATTATTTGTCTCAGCAAAAAAATAAATAAATAAAAATGGTAACTAAGATACCAGGGATCACAAATATCCAGTTAGGTACAGAAGCTGGTCAGCCTCAGGATGTCAGTCTTAAAGATCCATAAAGTACAGATAAACCTAAAATTATCTTGCTTATATGACAAAATAGAAACCACTCCCCCACCTACTCCTTTTTGGTAGGAAATAAAAGGAATGAAATGGCACATAGGTTCCTAAGAAAAACAACGAAACAAGTCAGAAGATCTTGTAAATGTTAGGCTGATTTATAAGCACTGCTCTGGGCAGTTACAGTTTGTTTACAATGAGAAGTTATCTAACTCTGAACATACTGTACATGGCAATTAGAAGTCTTCATGGCAAGAGAAAACCACAGCTGGCCTGCTGCGCCCCGCACAAAAAACCAGAGGACAGGAGGGAAAATGGAGGACTGGAAGTGGGGTTTATTATAAAAGAAACAACTCCTTAGGACACTTAAGAGGAATATTCTGCACTGGGAAGACAGACATTTAGATACAAAACAAGAGTTTTAACTCTAGCCCTGTCCCCAACTCTAAGAGCAGAACGGAAGGAGACAGCTGAAGCAAACAGGCAATTCTGTAAAATTACACTTAAAAACCCTAAAAACTTGATTAAAATCTAAACTTGTCTTGCCTTTTAAAAACGTAATATATCAAAAGGCCTGTTTTAGTGGCATGCTAGCCCCACTGGAAAAGAACTCCTGTACTCGTGACACACTCAAGTTGACCAGCCAACTCACACTTCCAAGCCCAGGTGTGGGCTGGCACTTGTGCCTTTAAACCCAGCCACGAGGCTCAGGTGATGGCTAGGACTGTGTATCCTCCTCCTGCAAAAGCTGGGAAGGGCAGGGACACCCTTACAATAAAGGACCAAGAGCCACACTGACCACCCCTACCCGCAAGGAAATCCTTATTTCTAAACCCAATTTGGTACCCAGTAACTAAGATGATTTCTTTTAGGAAGGAAAAAAAACCCCAAAACCAAAAAAACCCACACTTATCTAGAAACCCATATAGACTTTTTTTTGTTTTTACATTTAAATATAAAAATACTACTCTGCTTTGTTGTTATAAATGGAGGACCAAGGGGTAAGAAGCTTTTCTTCTTTGAAAGTAGGGCTGTCCATCGGTTTTCTCAGCTCTGTGTTCATGGGAGGACATGGAGCCCCAAGTAGGGGAGCATGGCAGCCAGAGACCAAGGAGGGGCATTTCCTCCCTGATCCCCGACCATCCCTCCTCCTCTCATTTCTACTTACACCTGAGAAAACAAGCTTCCCAGAGGGGTCTCACTTAACCTGTCAGGCTCTTCCCTTGTCAGCTCCCCATGGGGAAATTCCTCTCCTTCCCTGCTCCCTCAGAGCACATCTGCTCTGTCCGGAGAGCTGAACCTGCTGGACCAGCACACTCGAGGGGAAAGCAGTGGTTAGTTTCCCTGCCCGCGTCCCCACTAATGCATTAGCAAGATTCCGTGATAGGGACAGAAAGGGGGCGTGGGTGTGAAAAGATTAAGAATTTGGCCCCTCTTCTCCTGGCCAAAGAAAGCAAGATTAACTGAGCATGAGGAATAAAAAGACCTGATATTACAGCCTTTGAGTTACAGTGGGGACAAGGAGGACCACTGGGAGACAGGGAGGAGCTGGAGGAGGGCGGGAACTAGGAAGGGCTGGACAGCTGCAAGTCTAGTCCACTTAGTTTTTGTACTGGAAGGGTTCATCGCCAGTCTCATTGAGAAGGCAGGTGCGGATGAGGGCTTCTGTCACAGCAAAGGGGTCACAATTGGCAGAAGGGCGCCGGTCTTCAAAGTAACCCTTCTTCTCCTGGCCAACAGTCCGGGGAATGCGGATGCTGGCGCTACGATTGGCTACACCAGCAGAAAAGTCGTTGATGTTGGAGGTCTCATGGAATCCAGTTAGGCGCCGGGCATTGTCCAGGCCCCCCTTGGGATCATAAGCACGGATGTGGTACTGGTGCCGCTTGCTTAGTTTCTCGATGGCCTCCTCAATGTACCTACAGGAACAGAAAACAAAGGTTTCCTCTTGTCATCAAGAAATCTCATGCTCTATAGGGGCAGGAACAGACATGGACCCAACACTGAAGTACACTAAACTATGGCGCCAACACCAATAAATACTCCCTGAGGAGTATTTGTCTTGTTACTTGTATGTTCCAGGGCTCAGAATTGTGCCTGACAAGTCATCATTCATTGACTGAAAGAGTTGAACATCTAGATCTGTTAACTTTTTTCCATCAGCACCTTTCAGCCTGTCACTAGGCACTTTTCTTTTTTGGGGGTGGTTTGACACCAGTTCTCCCCACACAGCCCAGGCTGGCCTTGAACTCAGTGATCCTCCTGCTTTTTAGCCCGCTGAACGCTGGGATCACAGGCGCAACCACTGCACCCAGCTCATTAGACAGTTTTCAAGTGGGAAAATAAGACATTTAAACCAGGCATCAAGAACTGAGGCACATGCAGCCTGAGGGGGGAAAAAGCCAGCAACAGACTTGGCAGGACATCTTGGGGAGGAGATACGCCCAGACGACGGTCCCCTCCTGAGGCCCCAGCAGCAAGTACTCACTTCAGACCATTTTCCTCCCGCATGGCCTTCGTGCTGAAGTTGGTGTGGCAGCCTGCGCCATTCCAGTTTCCAGGAATGGGCTTAGGATCAAAGGTTGCTATCACTCCAAAGTCTTCACACACGCGATGCAAGATGAAACGGGCCACCCAGAGATGGTCTCCCATGCAGATTCCTTCACAGGGTCCTATTTGGAATTCCCACTAGAAAGAAAAAGATTGGCTTTTGGAAAAAAACATTCATTCTAGCAAGCTTCTGAGCCTGTTCTCTTTCCTAGTCTATTCCAACCCAGTCTGACTTTGAGGCTGGTGAGCAGTGAATGGGCAGCTTTTGCTAGCCACGTCTTTTGCCTATTTGTCCCTGAGGTCTTCAAAGCAAAACAAAACAAAACAAAAAACCCAAACAAACAAACAAAAAAAGGTGGTAATGAGAGCCATTTACCTGGGCGGGCATGACTTCAGCATTTGTCCCTGAAATCTTGACGCCAGCATACAAACAGGCCCGGTAATGAGCTTCCACAATATCCCTGCCATAGGCCTTGTCTGCTCCCACACCACAGTAATATGGACCTGCAAAGGTATCAGAACAAAGCGGTAAGCTGGGTGTGGGGCAAACACTTTAATCCTAGCATTTGGGAGGTCAAGGGAGAAAAACAGCAGCTCCTTCAGTGTGGCCTCGGACAGAGCTGGAAGTTGGCCTGAGGAACACATCAGAACCTGTGTCTCAAAAAAAGAAAACATAGTAAAGCAAAGGAATGAGGGAACCAGAGAAACCTCACAGCCAGTCAGAGGGCCTTTAAAACTTGCTCTCCTGAGTGTTTATTTACCCCAGCTTTCGCCCGGTGGGGGGGATCCTTAGCCAGAGGCTCCTCCTCAGTGCCTTCTCCTGACTTTCTGGCTTTGGCAATGGGAGGGCTGTTTTTACCATTATTTTAGCCAGTTTTTTGATTTTAGAGTTGCTCCCATTTCTGGAGAGGGGGCCCCCCTGGACAGTAAGCACTTGAGGGAGGGAAGTCAGGTCCTCTCCAGAAGACTCACCTTGGGGCCCAGGGAAGCCATTGGAAGGCCAGCCGAAGGGGTGGCCATCAGTCCCCATCAGAGTATACTCCTGCTCCATGCCAAACCAGGGGTGCTGGTTGCATACCATGTCCATTATCCGCTTACAGGTGTGTCTTAAATTGGTCTCTAGAAAGAGTCAATGCACCATTAGGGTTATAGAGAGACACATCTCTTAATATAGGTGCTGATCAGAAAACAGTTCTACCCTTTTACAGGACCGAAATGACTCCTGGCAAAACTCTGTCCCAACACTTAGTCAGGAACCTGGGAGATGCTACAATGTAACCGTACATTTTACAGACTCTCTGAAAGACTCTAGTTATAATTAAACTCAATTATAACCAAGTCACATGGGAACTGATTCTGAACAGAGCAAGTGTTCACCTTATCAGCACGCTGGCCATCTCCCAAGTGCCAAATGCCAGGCACTTACACCCCCTATTCACAAGGCAGCTGCTTCAAGTTGTCAAACTTAGTCTCTAGTTTCTAGGCACTTGGAGCCAAATCTAATTTTTATTGAGAATAATTTGTCCGTTAGGAGGCTTACATTCCTGGTGAATTTAAATGGGAAGTTATATAATAGTAGCTGGTACAGAAAACAAAAGTGAGATGAGCTCAGTTAGAAACAATTTCCAAGCTAGAAAAGGCTTCAAAAAAAGAAAGCCCAAGTCTGTAACAGCCCTGATGTAAGATTAGAAGTCTTTTGTTTTTACAGATGACACAACTAAGCTTAGATGCCCTAGGTGCCTTAGGTTAAGCAATCTGTCCAGGTTATAGGGCAGCAGAGCCAGGGAATCATTGGTTGTCTTGGCTTTACAGCCCAGGACTTTTAGAACAATACACCTTTTTGAAGCAAAGCCAGTGAAGGCTCAGCACCACTAAGCTTCCCTGGCAGTATAGCAAGAGATTTCACAGGAGTTCTACCGGGGGCAGGTAGCTAACTGACTGAAAACTGCAAAAGGCAAAGGGGCAGTTACTTCAAACCTCCTGGCCAACGTAATGTCAACCAACCAAGATGTTCGCATTTTAGTTAATGGATAGATGGTTGACCAATCCCACAGAGTCCTGACAGTTCTGAGACATTTAGCCTTTCAATACCAATTTCAGAATACTTCTTCTTTCATAGAACCCGCGCATTGAGGTGGAATCCATAGCCAACCTGTACGTACCTGCAGGCTTCCGGTTGTACTTGAAAACTTCACAGAACACCAGTTTGTTGGGGTCTTTGCGGAAGGGGTCCCGAAACATGGAAACAGGGATAAGGTACATGTCACTGTTGGAGCCTTCTGACTGGAAAGTGCTAGAGCCATCAAAATTCCACTCAGGTAACTCTGGGACAGAAAGAGATGGGAATTAAATTAAAAATATGTACAGGAATTCCCCAGCCAAGAAAGAATACAGCCAGTCCCTTTTACATTTCCACCTCTAAAGAGTTACAAATGCTACCACGGTTCAACATCTGTACTTACTTATCCCTACAGCTCTGCCCGAGTTCCAAGTAAGACCATTACCTAAGTTCCTTAAAGAAGTAAATAAATCACAACAACCACCTAAGAAGAACACATACTTCCCTCCCTAAATGGTCTACCGTGTGCCAGGTATAGATGGCACCAATCAATTACTGCAAATAGTGAGATGAGGACGTTCCGGTATCACGAGGCCACTTTGCAGTTCAGTGTACTGAGTCTTGCCTGTAAGCTGATGTATTGAGAAAAGCAAAACAACGGAGTCTGACTTGTAGAGAGTAGGGGAGCTGGTCTTGGCTAACTCTGTCATCCCTACTTCCCTGGCCCTAAAACACGCTCAGAAACCCAGTGTAAAAAGCCACTGCTCCAATTGGGAAAACGCCATCTAGTTTACAAACTCCGGAGGTACTGTTTCCTTTTCTCATCCCTGAGTTTCCGAATGAAAGTACGTGCTTTGAAGTGGTTTGTGAATGGCTCTATATGTTTCCTTTTATTAGGGCCACTTTTAGTAATTCTTAAGTGATCTAGTTACATATCCTTTCAGAGGCTACTATGTTAGAGTTATGACCTTAATTTTTCAGTCTAGAACAAATTATAGCCCCTGCCCTGGACCCAAGGAAAAAATACCACCACCTTCCTTCTTTCAGATAGCCTGCTTTTCTGATAACACATTTGAGTGAATGAATGGATGAATCACCATAGTATGTAGCAAACATTGCATACTTGCAGTGTGGCTGACACTGTACAGGCCTGGTCTATACAAGGTGTGAGTCTGATCTCTGCCTTTGGAGAACTCAGTACACTGAATTAGCAGAGTGGCCTAAGTGATACAGGAACATCTGTTTTCTAGGGCACAGTTTGACCTAGAATAGCCAGCCAAGACTAGCCCCCCGACTCTCTACAAATTAGACTCCATCTTTTGTTTACCTTTTCTCAATACATTAGCTTACAGGCAAGACTCCATATAAACAAAGGGTTCTTTAGTTGCTACTGTGCGGCTGTGTAGGAGCCTTCCACAGATGGATCAGAGTCTGAAAACCCTGCCTTAGGAAAGCTTTACAAACAGGATGAAGAAGCCAAATCCAGTGGCTCTTGGTGCTGGTCAGTGAGCTTGTAGCTCAATGGCCACCCCCATGGCACTGACCCACCCTTGCCCAGCCTCACCTTCTACACTCTTGGGCTCACTGTCCAGGGTGCGGGTCTTGCAGCGCAGTCCTTCTCCAGTACCGTCAATCCAGATATACATGGCTTGGACTTTGTCACCTTGAGGCAGGGACATGTACACCTGCTTGATGCCTTTGTTCAAGTGGGAACTCGCTGAGGTGGCCATGGTGGAGGATGTTCTGCAGAGAAGAAAGTGACTTTATCAATACACACTCTAAACTGTTCCCCTGCAGGAATGGCTTAAGGTGGTCAGCAGAAACAAAGTGGGGATGGGGATTCCTCTCTTGAAGTCAACGCACCTAACGGTACTTTTTTATCCACTCTACTTTCAGAGGGCTTAAAGTTTTACAGATCAAAATCTTGAGAGCTGTAAGTAAAAATCTGCTCACCACTGTTTGAAGTGATTAAAGCAGATGGACAATTGCTAAGGACTGGTAGTAGCTCATCATCTCTTTATACTGTGAGGCTTAGCAGTCAACGTTCCCACAGCTACTGCAGATATGAACCACCTCTCCATAAGCTAGAATCTATACTTGTGATTCTGTAATTTCCATCAGTCTGATGCAAAATTCTATCATTCAGGGTAGCCAAGGTAGGGGATTCTAAAAATAGACTGCTAAGCAGGGGTAGGTGACACACCCTGTAATCTCAGCTCTCAGGAGGCTGAGGCAGGAGGATAGCTGCAAGTTCAAGGCCAGCCTTTACATAGTGACCCTGTTTCCAAACAAAACAAAATAAAATAAAGCTACTAAAAGGAAGTCAAGGAAACAGATTCAGAATGTTTATCATCTCTCAATATAAGTAAAAATTTTTAAATAATGGCTATGGTTTTTGTTTTGAGTTTCCCCTAGCCTTTCATCCCTGTGGTCTTCCAGAAGATCCATCCCTCCCTAAAAAATTAAAAAAAAAAAAAAAAAAAAAAAAAAAAAAAGAAACCTTCAGGAGTTTAGATTTGAAGATGAAAAAGGTTAGCCAGAATATTTAATCAAAGGCTAGCAGTTTGCTATTACCATTACAAAGGTGGTAAAAATAGCTGATTCCAGTCGGTTTCAAAGGTACCTCTTAGTGGTTGGTTTTCACTGGTGTGATATGAAGTGCTAACTTCAGAACACAAGCTCAGACTCCAGTACCAGAATGATACTCTTCTCGAGAGATTCCAGAAGAAAACCTCTTCAAGTGGGAAATTTCTACTTCTAATCAATAAGATCAATAATTCCAAAGCTCTGAGACATATTAAAAATTGCAAGCCATAGCCACAAACCTCTGAAAGAAGAGAATCTCTGAAGCCACAAAACCAGCCTAAACAAAAGAGGAAACACCCCCCACCCTCCATGGCCCAGCGAGGCTGGAAAGGGAACATATTGTTCTCCTCCAATGACTTGGGCAACTTCTGAAGTACAGTGGCAATGTTTCTATGGGCAACTGTCCATGTTTGCCCAGCTGTAAACAACTGCTTCTCTCAAAAGCCTCACCCAAGGGGAAGGGAACCTCACCGATCAAATCCCACAGCAACTTTGCCTAGTGTCAAACTACACCCAGTCATCGAAGTCCACCTTGTACCTCGGCCTAAAGGCCAGGGCAACCCCTGAAATCTTCAGTGTCCACTGAAAGCTGTCTCAAAAAACCAACATCAAACTACAGGTATGCTTTTTTACACACCAACTGGAAGCAAGCGGTCTTATGCATTGTAAACAACTGATGCCACCACGACGGTGCCAAGTTCGGGCGGAGAACGGAGCTGGGAGTTGTTCTAAGCCGTTTCAGCAGCTGCTGCCCGTGCCAGGTCCTCCTCCCTGCTCCCTCACTCACCCCAGGCACAGGGCTTGAACCGTGCTGCTAGCGTTGCTCTCCCTAGCTCTCTTCTTTTTAGAGCCGCGTTCGGGCTTCTCGCTCTCCGGCTCTCGCTGGACCAAACTACTAAGCTTGCCGGGTGGACGCTTCGGAGGGGGGGAGCGGTCGGAGCAGGACGTGCTGGAATTGGCGGGCGGGTGGTTTAAGCTCATAACCTTGATCTGCGGTTCCTCCCCGTAGTTCGTGGGGCAGGAGACAAAGGCCAAACAGTTGGGAGAATTCACGACCCAAGGGCTGTTGCGTTCTTCATCTTCGTCTGGGGTTTTCTTTGTGGATTTGCGGCTGGGGGAGCATCCCCGCTTTCCGCCCCCGGGGGAGTTGGGATAATCCACCTTGAAAGCTGTCCCTTCCCACTGCCGTGTCCTGGAAGCCGGCGCCCCGGCCTTCGGGCCCGCGTGGACTCCGGGCCTCGCTCAGGAGGCCATGCCTGCACCCCGCAGGGCAGGCTGGGGGTCCAAGGCGCCCGCTGCCACCCCAGCCCCGTCTCAACCGGGGCGTCCGCCAGCCACGCCGCGGGCCGGCTTTCCATTGTTCGGTCACACTGCAAAGGCCCGGGGACCACGCTACAGACGCCGGCTGCCCGCTTCGACCTCGGCGCCTAGGAGACCCCCGGGACCACCAGGACTCCCCGCCAGGCCCCAGCGCGGAAGAGGAGAGCGAGGCGCACTAGCCCGGGACCCCAGGGCCGCCGAGTGGGCAGCTCACTTCACCCCGGAGTGCAGGCGTCCAGGGGAGGCGCCTCCGAGCAGAAGCGAGATCAAAACAACCCATCTCCCCCCACCGGTCGGAGCCTGGCGAGCGCGCGCGCCCCGCTGTCGCCAACCCAGCCGGGTGGGGGCACCCGAGCCCCGCTCTAGGCGTGAGCGCGCCGAGCCCGGCCGGACCCCACGAGGAAGGCGGCCCGCCGCCCGCCGCCTCGAAGCCGGGGCCGCACACTTGCTTACCCGGGCGGCGAGCAGGAGGACGGCAGCCGCCAAAGCGAGGCGAGGAGAGCGGAGAGAGGCCGATGTCCCACTCAAGCGTCCCGCGCCTCTCCCATTCTCGGCTCCGCCGGCTGCCCGCTGCCCGCCGCCTTTATCGGCCGCCCGGCGCCGCCCCCGGCGCCCTGATTGGCCCGCGGCGGCCGGGAGCCCGGGCCCAGGAGCCGGAGCGCGCCGGGTCCCCGCGGCCATTGGGCGACGAACGGGCGGGCGCCGCGGACATGGGGCGGGGCGGTGGCGCGGAGCCCGGGAAGGAAGAGAGGGAGTGGGGGGGAGAGGGAGAAGGGGGGGAGCGAGGCGCCTGCCGCGGAGGGCGGGGCGAGGGCGAGGGCGAGGCGGCGGGGCAGGGGAGGGGAGGCTCCCGCCGCTGTCCCCCGCACCCCCAGTCTGGCTCCTGAGGCCTCGCCCTCGCTGCTTCCCGGAGGCATCGGTTTGCAAGGCAACCGCCCTGTTACATCCAGAACCCGAGAAGCCGAATTTGCCCTTTGTTGTGAAAGAGCCGCGCGAGGCTGAGGGCCGCTGGAGCTCAGAGCAGGCGGGGCCAGGGCGGTGCCTTTGGGAGACCTGGTCTCCGGGCTTGCAAGCGCCCCCTCGCCGGCTCCCTCCGAGGATCGGGGAAGTGAGCAGAATTCTGGGAATTCACATTTTTAAGCAGAGCACTGTGTTTCTAGAATTAGGCAGAAACTGCTCTGTAGCGCGGTAGAAAATCAGACCGTGTCTGATAATGTCTCACCCACAAGGTCAGACCTTAGGAGTCTTTCAGCCTCTCTGGGCCCAAATTTCCTTATCTGCAAAATAAAGCCCTTTCAGGAATGACCTTCAGAGCCAAACATCAGAATTGAAATTTCTGTGTGCAAACTCCACCCTCAGGGCAGCTAATTCCTTAAGGGCCTGCTTCTTGGCTTTGCTTTCCAAGTATTGCAACAGTATATTCTGGCTCCTTTTTAATCTTGAAAATGTTCCCTTCTGTTAGCCTTTCTGTAATGGTTGGGGACATGAGTATGTGAACACTTTCTTGAGATAAACTTTACCCAGGTGCACAAAAATCATTCAACACATATGTTGCTATCCATACTGTTTTTGAGAATTCTGTTTTTAGTGCCTGAAGTCCACCTCATGGTGTCTGCTTATTTTTTCAGGAGTCTCAATATTCGAGATTCTGAAGTTTCGCTTTTTAAAGACCAAGAATTTATTTCCAAGGGCCAGGGATTTAGCTCAGCGGCCTAAGTGCCTGCCTGGCAAGCACAAAGTCATGAGTTCTATCCCTGGTACCAAAAACAAAAAAGGCAGGAAGAATTTATTTCCAGAGCGTTTGGAAGTGGAAAGGAAGTTTGTTCTTATGGTTGTATTTTGTACCACAAATAACGGCAAAGAAATGTCTGTGACCACATAACTTGGCTTCTTTGGTCAACATGCCTTCCCTTTAAGTGTGTTTAACACTGTAATACTTTGAAATGACTCAAACAGGTAGTCGTGGTATATCTGGGAATGGCTAAGTGACCTTGCAAATTCCTTGTTAGGTTTCAGTGCAGCGCACACTGAAGCGTTGTAATGTGGCTGCAGACAGGAGGCTTCAGCTCAGAACAACTTAGTGTCACATCTGGGCATTACCTGTGAGGCCAAAGCCTCACTTTCCTTGCCTATGAAATAGGGAAAATATAAAGAAACAAATAGGGAAAACAATAGCTACCTTAAATTCTATAGGGATTTATTGTCGTAGCATATGCGCAAGAGATTAGAATGGTATTTGGAACACAGTAAATGTTTAGAAAATAGTAATTCACTTTACCCCCTCTTCTCTCTCTCTCTCTCTCTCTCACACACACACACACACACACACACACACACACACACACACACAGAGTAAAGGAGATGGAACCTAGGGCCTTTGCATTGAGCTGTGTCCCTTTTTACTTTTCTATTGTGAGACAAAATCTTGCTAATCGCTGAGTTGCCCAGGCTGGGCTCCTTTGTGATCCTTCTTAGCCTCCCAGAATGCTAGAGTTATAGGCCTGCACCACCACACCTGACCAATAATGATCATTTTGATGGGCCAGAATCATTTGAAGATCTTGGAACATTTCTTTTCCCATGGTGACTCACTAAAAATATTTGTCTGCCTCAGTGCTCCTCACTGATTGAATGAAAGTTGACTTAGAACTAGTAACATGAGCAGTCTTTTGCAAGTGAGAAAAAAGTTTGTTTTTCTGGTTATATTTTGTATCTCAAATATGCAAAAAGACTTCTGTGAAATCTTCAAGTGAGATGGTTGGGGAGAGGAGCAGGGAAGAGGAAAGGTGGTGATCTTAAGATGCCAGATTACGGAAGCATAAACCAAAGCCTTCTGGATTCATCACCACCTGCACCCATGATGGGCATGGTTTTCGAACTTAGGGCAGTTCTGCCAGGTGAGTGCCAACTTCGTTTGCTAGGTATAGTAACCTCTCTGAGCCATGTATTCGTCTCCATATCCCCCAATAGTGTCCAAGGTGAGGGTTCAAAAATGTTTGTTGACCACACAGAAATGACAGCGGCACCTTCAAGAGAACACATGTTTTGAGCTGCTTTTCCGAGAATGGAAATGGATTTGCTTTGATCCTTTCATGTGACCAACGGTGGCCTTTGTGAGGGTCAGGAAGGTAAAACATGACCGCTGAGACTTTTTCAGTAGTGAATAGGAGGCTTTGCCTCCTTGGCCATCCCCCCAGTTATTTAAACCAACCAAATTAGGACCTAGATGCATCCAAGGGCTGGCCAGGGAAGGGTAAGAGTGTACTGGGGAAGAAAAAGGGGAAGAAAGCCCTTGACTGGTTTACACCCAGAAAACCAGACTGTACTTTTCAACAAGTCAGAAGAACTTGCTTCAGCCCCTTAGACTTTGTTCTGTCTGCTGTACTTTGTTGTTCTTCTTTCCTAAATCGCTGCCACCCCTCATTTTTTACCCCTGCCATAAACAGCATTGGATGCTGAAACCCATGAACTGTTTCAGTCTTTTGGCACACACGCCCACGAGGGGGTTCTACCTCGTGTTCTTTCTCCCAGAGTGAGGTGGGTGGAGTGGGAGAGCACATTACAGGGAAAGACTGTGTTCCAAACTTGCAGAAATAGCTTGAGCTAAACACCTGTCTCCTGCCTGCCTTCCTCTCTTCTTTCCTTCTTTCTTCCTTGCTGCTGCTCCTCCTCCTGCTCTCTTCTTTTTCCTCTTCTTGAAACAGTGATTCACCCTGTTGTCCGGGCTGGCACTGAGCTGTCTTCCTTCCTCCACCTCCCAAGTAGCTGAGACTACAGTCATGTGCCACCAGGCCTGGCTAAACGAATGTCCTCAGTTTTGTTCCCCTGCCTGAAATGAAGACCTTGGTTTCGGTGGGCTTTGCTGGGAGCCTTTACAACTTCCCTTCCTTTTGAAGGACCTGTTCTCCCCCAGCAGATAGGAAGCCCTTAATCTAGTGCACTGAGAATTTGCCAGAGCCTGCACAGCTGCTGTGTACTCAGATACAACATCAGCGTAGTACTCAAGTGAACCCAATCCTTATACCATGGCATACTCTTTTGGAAATGGAGTTTGCCCCATACATGAATGATTTCATTTCATAGTGATAATTTTAATTTAAGCTCTAAAGAGACATAACTGAGATTCAGGGTTAGGGAACATTCCGGAAAACCAACACCTATTGTACATGGCTCTTTTTTTAAAATTTATTTTTAAATAAGGTAGCATTAGTCCTTTCCAGAAGAATAGACTGTAGGACTGAACCAATACAAAAGAAGAACAAAAAGAACAGCTCTGGAAACTTACAGCGTTATTCTTAAGCCATATTTTGGGGAAGGGGTAAAGGTGGCCAAGTTTTCAAATTTTATTACACACAAAGGAGGAAAGACTATTATACTTTAGTTCAGTGACATGACACTTAGCGGGGGAGGAATTGCTGTATTTAGATACGTTGATCCCTTGTTACTTACTCTTCAGTTCAGAGGGGAAATTTGAACTTCAGCTATCAGCTGGCTCTCAACTGATTTGTTTTTCTGTTTCATTTTGTAATATTGAGAGCTAAACACAGGGCCTCTCACTAAACTGCGTCTCCAACCCTTATTTTTTTATTTTGAGACAAGGTCACACTAAGTTGCCCATACTAGGTTTGGACTTGCAATCTTCTGCCTCGGACTCCTCACTAGCCTGGATTATAGATGTGCGTCACCACATCTGGCTTCTGATGTGAAATCTTTCAATTGCAAGGAACACTCTATTTCTTAAACTTCACATTCCACTAGATGATTTGGGTCTGAGCTCTAGCTCGCTTCTTATCTGTACTAGGAAAACGCTTGGAAAGGTTGGAAGAATTGATTTTTCTTATCTCACAAGGAAAAATAAGTTCCATTGAGAAAATTAGAGCCATATAATTAGAATCAGCTCTTCCCATCATTGTATCTTAAAGATGAGTAACAGAAGCCTAGGTAACTTTTAGTCCCAATAGGGAGGCAGTTCACAGCTTAATGGCGCTTGCAAGGGTCTGTTCCTTTGACAGCTCTTACCTGGTCCCTACCAGTTTCCTTGGCCTGTGGGTGGAGATCCTGAGTCACAATTTCTTAAATTCCTATCATACCCCTTAGGAAAGGACAGAGTGCAGGGATCAACCAGTTTATTTCAGAGCCCTGTGTACCAGCACCTGGTATGTATTGGGCATTCAATATATGCCACCTTTGTGAAAAAACTAGATTGCCACAAAATAAATGCTGCAAAATAAACACTGCATAATAAGTTCTCTTAAGGCCATTAGGAAGGAATGGGGATGTAACTCAGTGGTAAAGTATGGGCTTAGCATCCTTAAGACCCCAAGTTCAGTCCTCAGCTGCTGTACCCTCTTCTCCAAATCACCAGGGTGAAGGAATCTTTGGAGATTACTTTGCATATATAATCATCCATGCCGGCTTTCTTTATTTGAGAATCTGGGATTGGGTTCTTTATTCTTAACGGACACCCAGCTCTATCTTGATTTACTCAGTTGACTGGGACATTATTGAAGCTTATTTTAAAATTTAACCATGTGTGGTACTGCACACCTGTTATTCCAGCATTCAGTTGGAGGAAAGGGAGACTGAGGCCAGAGGATCATCAGGAGTTCGAGGCTAGCCTGGGGTACACGGTGAGTTCAAGATTAGCCTGAACTACCAAGTAAGACCCCAGCTTGCAAAAAATCGTTGTGTTTTTAAACATTTAATATTCTGATCCAAAAACTACCTAAATCAGAATGTGCACTTTATTTGGCACTCCTCCCAAGGAAATTCTCGACTGGACCCACAGTCTCTCGTTCCTCACTTCCTACGCCATTAGTTGATTTAGATTCCTCTTTATTCCTTGTTTGCCAAGTTTTAATATGAAACAAACAGCCTGAGGGTATGTTTTCTGCATGCTCGGACAGTTTTTATTCTGCCTGTATACCTTTCCCGTCCTCCACTTTCCTCCCCTCCTCCTAAACCCATTCTTGCAAACTTACTTACTGGGTTGCAGAACTATATGCTTGAACCTGGTGATGGGGACGTAGTGCCCTCTGGAGGATTTTTCTGAGAATTACAAGCTTCACTCATAAAGCTTAAGGGGGAGCCCCCACCCACCCATCCATACGTACACGCTGGGAATTGACCTCAGAATTTCATACTGAGCTATACCACCCGCCTCTTCAAATTATAAATTTCGAGGGCTGGAGATTTAACTCAGCAGCATAAGCGTCTGCTTGCTGAGCGCGAGGTGGTGAGTTGGCTCTCCGTTACAGAAAATAAAACAACAACAAAGACAAATTATAAATTTCGAGGTGGGGGTCAAACTAAGTCTTGAGTTGGTCAAGTCGAGGTGGAATTCACGATAGTCCTGCCTCAGCCTCCCAGAGTTCTGGGATTATAGGTGTGCACCACCACACTTACCTGGTTGAGATCTTGACTGGCCTTCGTGGGGAAGGCCTTTCTATGCCTCTTATAGATGACAAATTAATAATACACAAAGCATTGCCTAGGTGAGATGTTTAAGATATTTTTCTGGGGTTATTGCCTGATTACTAGACACAATTTTATCATTATAAAGTTAGGCCTCAGATGCCCAGAAATGGGAGGCAGATAGTAACTATGCATTTTCCTCACCTCCCATCAATATGTAAAAAGGATAAAGAGAAAAGGAAGGCTCCCAAAGAAAGGCCACTGAGAAGAATAAGGGAGAAGGGCGAGGACTAGAAGACCTGGTCACGGTCGATCCTCAGTCCTCACGTGGGACTGAGCCTGAAAATTTAAAAATGAGCCAGAAGTTGAGAGTTCACCAGATTCTTATTCCCAGAGAGGATGGGAGTTTGGGGTGAGGTACAAGTTGTAACAGAAACATAACCTGTGGGGGATCTAGGTTATTTATATGATGCTTCATCCTCCACCAGGATCTTCTATCGGGGCTATCATTTCCTCTCCTTGCCTCCTTTCCTCCTTCCCTTCCCTACTTCATTCTGAGCATCACTTGCATCTCCATTGCCATTAGCAAAGTCACCATGACATGCAAGACACAGTCAATGGCTTGAGTCCTACACAGCTGAGCTTGAGTTCCTGTCATAGGTGCTGTGAGACTTGAGCAAGTCAACCTGCAGCTTCCTTGAGTTTCCTTATAGAAACATGTGTGAGGATCCAAGGAAATAGCAGAGGAAACAATTAACAGGTTGCTGGGCTTCAATATCCATCAAGAATGAGGAAGAGAGAGGGCCCATTAACTGGAGAGATGACTCAGACTTTAGGACTGTTGGTGTTGCCTAGAGGAACCTCCAGCCTGTTTTTCAGTGTACCCAGAAGAAGCAGGGCTGGGGGGAAATTCAAATAAACCTTTAGTAAGTGTTAGCTATGTCTTGTAGTTAGGACACACTGAAGAAATTTTGGAACTTTTATATGGCAAAGTCTCTATCCTGTACATTAGTTGATAAAGAAAATCCTAAGATGATTTAAAAAACAACAAAACAAAGGTAGTCAATGTATAGGAAAACTAACAAGATAGACTTAATGGAAAGAGTTCTTGGCAAAGGGTACCTTGGAACACCCAGAGAGGTGGCGGCGGAAGTGAGTTTTATTGTGGCTTCCAGGTAGCATGGTAAGAATCTGCGACATGGCACAAGAGTTGGAGGGGGTTAAAAAATCTGAGGATAATGTCTGATGAATTACATGGACAAGAGTGGAAATGATGAAGCAGGTAAGCTTTGACTGGTCTAAGAGTAATAAAACATGATATTGGGACAGTACCATGCATTTTGATTCTATGAAATTTAGGAAGCAAAAAATATAATGTTAACCTAAGATGATTGTAAATTGTTCTGCTACTTCTACATGGTAGCTGCCACTTTAACAAGCACATCAAAGTGCTCACATTGCCAGGATGAAGTTCAAATGATTCCAGTTTTGAATTGTGAGAAATCTTTATTCCCTTGGGTAAAGGCAGTCACAGGTGCCTGGAAGGTGGTGGGGACAGCATAATTGCTGGGCTCTGCCAGGGTCTCTGCACAGATGCCTCCCTCCAAAACCCTTCTATGGCTTTCTTCTCCCCTGTGCCTTTGCTTGCACAGTAATGCCTGCCCCTGTTCTCTTCCTGCCCTTTCCCCAAATCCCACCCATGTCGGTTTCTCGAGCCTCTCCTGTTTCTTCGGCAATGACCTGAGGATCAGAGACAGAATACAGCAGCAGAAGAGACTAGCTGCGGTCCTCCTGGACAATTACCTTCACTGGGGCCAAAGAGGATGACATGTGTTTGGCTGAGAGAACCCAGCGGGGCATGATGGCATGCCGTTCTCCATCCTGTATCAGTGTGAGCTCTTTGAAAGGAGGGGAGCCTGGTCATCCTTCTCTGGCTGCTCCGCTTCCAGCAGCAGCCTGTAGCGAGCTCCTGGAGTGCTCTCATGACACGGAACTTCTGTGGATCCCCGAAGCTTCAAGCTGGGGCGGTAACAATGATACCAAAAAGAAGAGAAGCCATAGATTCCCAGCAGGCACAGAGCGTTGATCATCACATGCCAGCAGAAAAAGGTGGTGACAAACATGATATCACTGATGTCGTCATCATCCCATGGGAAGCCAGAGATGGGTTTGTACAGAAAGCCTGCCTGCACCAGCCAGGAGCCCATCATCAGGAACAGGAAAGTCTTAATCAGCCAGAGGTGAATCGTCTCCGGAGTCCAGAGCTCTGCGGTCAGCACCACCATCAACAGGAACACCACCAACATGAGTAGATAGTGGAACTGCAGCTCCACTCCTTCTGAGTCCTTAACATGGGACGCCAACAGTAGCAGAAGCTCGTAGAAGCTGAGGACCAGGGTGCCTTTTTCTAGGACCACGCATCTCTGAGGTAGCATGTTCTTGCTCATGACGTCTGCACAGCCATTGAGGGTGAGGAGGACAAACATGGTGAGGTGCTGCCACTCTTTGGGGTACATGAACCTTGGTGGCATCTCCCTGTTCATCAGTATCATTCCTCCTTTGATGCAGTTGATTTCATAAACTATCAGGAAAATGCCAGCCACTATCTTTGCCCAACCTCCAAAGGATATTTTCCACAGCTTGGCCCATCTTCCCTTATTCTTGGGAGGATATGAAGGATATGAGAGTGAGCCGTTGAATATCACAGCTTTGGAGACCGCAATTGCCTGATACAACCCATAGAAGATTAGAAACAGGCCTGGGCATACATGACCAATAAAGGTTCCCATTGAGTTAGATCTGTCTAACAAAGCAGGAAAGTACAAACCTCAGGCATCCCAAGTTCTGCCTTCCACCTGCTTTTATTATCTCACCACACCCACTGCTCCCCCACGCGCAGGAAACATTTCTTGAGACAGACCTACAAGGTTGGCTGAATATGGGCTCACTGTTCCATTGCACTGTCCATGAGGACATGGCTGGCCTCTGCCAAAGAAAAAAGTCATAGAACGGGCTCTACAGCCCCCAAGGAACTTCTAGTCATCCCTGTCCTGTCTCCCCTGGCTTCCTTCCTCTTATTCTGCCAGTCTTATCTTTGTCTCAGGAGAAGGGGCAAGGGCCATGGAGTGGAGGAAGGTGCTACTGTGCTATGTGGAGAAATCCTGGGCTTTTATAAACTCCTGCATGCCCTTCCCTACTTCTCAAGCATAGCTGGTCCACCTGCAAGGTCCAAAGTCTTCTTTCTGGACACACATTTATAAACATTTGAATATGTACCGAACAATATGCACTTAGCACTTATCTGGCTGTTCTGTTCTTCTGAGACAGAAATCTCCCTTTCCCTCTTCTCCCTGACCCTCTCATATACCCCAGCCACTGCCAGCATCACTTCAGCATCTCTACCAGCTGCACATGTGTCTACAATGTCGCCTTTTAAACTCGACTTTAGGGGCTGTGGTGGCTTCACAGAGCATCAGCATCACTAAACATGAACTGAGTTTCCCAGAATCCCTTTCCCTCTGTGGCTACAAGTTGAACCTGCCTACAAATGGCATTTCCATGAGAATGTAGAAGTGAAGCGGCAACGCAGACCAACTCTGAGGGTGTGCGGCACCAGGCACCGCTGAAGCATGCTGTTACGGATCTGCCCCCCCAGCACAAGGCCTGAACGGCAGCCAGGCAAGAGCTCTCCCAGGTTCTCATGGTCTCAAGGACACCAGATGCTTCTGCAGGTCACCTGCCGTTGAGGTACAAGGTGATGAGAGCAGAAAAGGACTCCAGTTTCTTTGCTCTTTATGGCTGCACGGAATATGTCTCTTCCTTACTGCTGCCACAATGAGCTGAACTGACATCAGGCCTAACATGCAGCCCCAGGACAACAGCTTTCTCTGGACTCCGTTACCAGCTCCCACAAATATGTAAGGTCGTCTTGCTGTGAGACAACTGTGAGCCTTACCGCTCTTTCCACATTCCTCTGCTTCGGTAATGCATCCCTAACTGACACAAGAAATTACCTGGTGTTCTTAAAATGTAGATACCCTGGAGAGAAGCAACTTCAATAAGCTGATATTGGCCATTTAAGCTTTAGTGTGAAATAGCCCATTCACTTAGTTTCTCTGCTATTAGATTAGTGTTTAATGCACTCAGGAACACAGAGCCCTACACATTAGGTAGCAGCCAGTGAGCGTAGGCAGAGGTAATGGTGGAGAACAAGGAGTTGGTGGGTATACAAAAGAGCCAGGTTTTTGTCTGTTCATTTCTTTTGTTTTGTTTTTTGGTTTTGGGGTTTCTTCGCTTTGTTTTGTTTTGCTTTGTTTTATCTTGTTTTGTTTTTGAGACAGGTGTGTCCTATGCCGTTCAGATTGGGCTTGGACTCACGGTGGCCCAGGCTAGCCTCAGATTTACAGTGAGCCTCCTCTTTCCTCAGTTTCCCCAGTGGTAGCATTATAGGTGTGCACCACCATGCCTGGCTTGGTTTTTGTTTTTGCACGGAATAGGAGTTTTTCTGGGTGTAATACATTTCCCGAGAGAAGAGAAAGTTCATAATAAATTATAAATTGTGCCCTTCAGTTTTTTGCATAATTATCTGTCCTTACTACAAACAATGCTGCAGGGCACAGAGGCCACAGCCATATGCTGATACTGTCCCAGTGGAGGAGAGTGTATACCTAGGTCACAGGACTGCCACCGAGCTTCATTCTTATCCAAATACAGATCCTTCTTTTGTAATGGGGTTATGTCTTAATAACCCATCAGTGAAAAATGTAGTCAATAGCCCTAACTTACAGAATATCATAATAATACAAAACACTGTAGGGTATCATTGTCCTTGTGATTGGGAAGGAGGGGTATCTAGGACTCCTAGATCAATTGAGAGAATTGACAGAATGTGACTAGCCTAGTAAATGATCAGAATTCAAAAATTGGGGTAGTTTTACCGAATGAGTAAGTTGCTTTTACAACATCTTGAAAAGTCATTTAAAGCTGGATGTGATGGCGGACACCTGTAATGCCAGCACTCTGGGAGGCTAGGGCAAGATGATCGCAAGTTCAAGCCTCACTTGGACCATTCAGTGACTTATGAGATACTGTCTTGAAATAAAAAATAAAAGGACTGGGAAGTATAGCCCTGGATTAAATCTCCAGTACTGCTGAGAAAGGAAAGAAGGAAGGAAGGGAGGAAGAAAGGAAGGAAGAAAGGAAGAAAAAAGAGAGAGAGAGAGAGAGTCATGTGGGGAGAAGGAAGAAAGGAAGGGAGGAAAAACCATAGGATTATAGAGTAAAAAGCTCAGTGGGAGGAGATAGAAAGGCAAAGTCTGAGAGGGACATTTCTGGAGTTAGTCATGGAGAAGGGAACTCTGGGAAAACTCAGGGAGGACTTGGTGTTCTTCTGTCTCAGCAAGGTCAGACCAGCAAGTCTGTGGCCTGCAACCTTTAAAAAGCACTGCCTTTGGCCACCGCTTATCTTGCTTCTAGTCCTTCAGGGCTGTGGCCCATGTGAAGTGTCCCATACCCATTTCCCCAGCTGAGAGCTGGGCGGCAGTGATCAGAGGATCAGGGACGATAGTAGCCCTGATCCAGCAGCAGCAGAAAGCTGAAAGTGGTGCATATGCAGGACAAGTGGCCCCACGTAACATCCCATGTAGGATGCTTAGGCCCCCATCTTGGCCAAGCATCAAGGCTGCATGTTGTTCATTAACACACAAACATCCAGGTCTCAGAAGTCGGAAGGTAGGACTCGCCCATCATAAACCAGACACTGCCCACAGTAACCGAGAAGCAAGTCAAGCATGGTGAATGATTAGCAGATGGCCAGGCAGCTCCGGAGTCTGGACACAAAGTACCTGCAAAAGTCTTTCACTGGGAAAACACGACCACAGGACATTCTCACAGGCCTGCTCTTCCTGTCAGTCTCTCAAAGGGCCACTGCCATTTTTTCTGCATCATGAGGTGCCAGAGCAAGCAAGATGATCCTCAAAAATTCTGTGAACATGAATTTATTCTACAAACACAAATTTATTCAACTACCATGCATCCTTCTGATTGCCTCACAGCATAAAAAGAAGGATGTGATACAGTTGTTACCCTCAAAGAGCTTATACTTCAATTGAAGTCACACCTCTACATGTACCCATCTTAGAGAAATATTTAGACTAATTTCTCCATAGAAATTAATGTTATATATTTTAAGTGTGCTGTCATATTAAGTAGATATAAAAAGGTAAAACTAAAAATCTATACTGAACCCACTATGAACTAAAATATGTGTAGAATCATAAATTTCATACTAAGTTTTCAAACTCAATGTATGTTTTACGATTATAGTACATCTGAGTTAAGATGAGCCAGATTGCAAGTTCTCAATCACCACTGTGACTAGCAGCTGGACGGCACATATTTAGATAACATAGAATGACATATGTGAAATATGTGTTTTAAAGTTTTAGTGCAAGGAGCATCTCATTGTAGGGATAGAAGTTGGGTCACTAACTGTATCTTTATTTCTTTTTTTTTTTTTTTTTTGGTGCTGGGAATCAAACTTGGGGCCTTGTGCTTGCCAGGTAGGTGCTTGTGCTGCTGAGTTACATCTCCAGTCATTCTTTGTTTTTTGAGACACAGTTTCACTTTGCAGCTCAGGCTGACCTTGAACTCACTTTGTGGCCCAGGCTGACCTCGAACTTGCAACAATCCTCCTGTCTCAGCCTCCCAAATGCTGGGATTACAGGCGTGTGCCACCACACCTAGCACTAGCTATAGTTTGAATGGTGTACTATAAACTTAATGACCATAGGATTTTAGAATGGTATTTTTCCAAAGCTTATTTTAACTCCTTTTATGTTTTGTTGTTTTTGTTTTCACTTTAGACAAGGTCTCACTGTGTAGTTCAGGCTGGTCTTGAGTTCCCTATGTATGTAGCCTACGCTGGACTTAAACTCACAGTGACCCCTCTCATTAGTGCACGAGGAATCCCTCCTGCCTCTGCCTCCTGAGTGCTGAAATTACAGGCAGGCAGCACCATTCCCAGCTCCTTTCTGTTTAAGAAGGACATTAGCATTCTCAAAAAATGATTATACCTTTCCTTGCTGCAAGGCAGAAAGACGAACTAAGAGAGAAAAGGCTAGAAGCCAGGGCTTGAGAAGGTCCAGAGAGAGTGGATTCATGGAAATCAGCATTGCTCAGAGACAGTCTCTCTATGCTCTGAAATCTCTTTTCATTTCAAGTAAGGGTTAGTAAGTCTTGGGTTTTAATGCTGACTTACTAAAACAAGGCTCAGAAGACATGGAAAACAACATTCTAATTTCCCAGCTCAAGAGCACTGGCAGCCTTGATTTTTCCTGGCATGCCAGCTCAGAATGTTCCTCTTTAACATTTTCTGTAATGCAAACTTTATACCCCATTGCATAACAGTGCCTTAGGTTTCATCACTTATAGCATTGATCTGAGGTGCTTTTTAACTGTCACATGTCAACAGCTGCAAGTTTTTCTTCAGGAAACTTCTGGCAATGTAAAAGCACCTTCTTTATCTCTTGTTAAAGCAGAAAAAAAACACTTGCTCCCAAGTCGGTAGTCCCTGCCTTTCAGTAAACCCTGATAAGTTTCTGCCGCCCCAGAATCATGTCACCTTCTTTCTGCCATATGTAAAAATAGGTGAAACTAATGTAACCTCTTGACCAACCATCTACCTCCAGCTTCCCCCTGCCGTGTGCAAAGGATATGAAATTCAGTGTAACTTTCTGTCCAGTCAGTTAACAGTGAGCACCTTGCTTTCATGTTTTTCACTTTCCTGTAA